GTCTTTCTATCCATGTCATGACTACTCTTACAACTGGGCACTGCTATGGATGGCTTTGAAGATGTACTCAGTTGTGTGTCTCCCCTTGAATTTCAAGAGGCACAGCCCGATGGATCCATAGCACTTACTATGCTTGTGCCAGGAGTGGATTCTGGTACCAGAAGTACAGTAGTGCATCGTGATACTGGATCTGGTTACCGACTCCAACCTCTTTTCCAGCAGCAGCTTGGCTAGAGTCCACTAGTACTACTGAACACACCTCTTCAACATACCCTGTCCATAAGTCCATGCGGTTCCCGGTAGGGGATCACATCAAGTCCTACTTGATCCGGAGACAGACTGCTGTGGCAGCACACAGCTCTGGCCAACTCCAAAGTCACAGCCCATGGCTAACATACTGTGAAACCAATCATTCACATGAAGAGCACATTCTCTTCTCTGGCTTCTTTTATGCTGTGCGTAATTAAGTCATGCTGACCACCGAGGAGGATGTATAGAAAAAGGACTCTAAATACCGTATTGGATAACTCACTGAGTGGGACCAATGCCCACAATGTATTCTCTCTTCAAAAACTTGACTTTAATTCAGTCTCCACCAGCAGACCCACAACACCAATCCACTTCATCCTCAAGCCATGACTTCCAACCCCCTCAAGAGCACACAAACAGTGGTACCAGCAGCACACTAGTCTGACCCACAGGCCCAGGGGTTTCACTGTGGCCATGGGCTCCCATGCCAGTCTTAACACTGAGGTCCCCCAAGGAAGCACAGGCACCTGCAGTGCTTCCCCAGAATACTGATTTACAGGGCACTCAATTGTGCCATGAGGCATCTATACAATCCCAGAATGCCATCTGCACTCTCAGCGGGTGGGGATAGTTTCATAGTAGTTTGGGGTCAGAAGGGACCTAAATAGATCTAATCTGACCCCCCGCCACTGGCCGGAGCACACACTGGGATCACACGACCCCAGACAGGAGTTCACCCAACGGATATGGGATATTGGCAAGAAAGTAGAGTATAAGATACTAGATGTTTCAAGGGGAAAAGGATGGAGAGGCGTGCTAACATCAAGTGTTTATTATCCGCTGAGAGTAACTCAATTGGGAATGGAGATTCCTGTCAGCCAAGGACAAGTGCTAATAAAAAACTCCCATTCCAGCTAGGAATCCTGGGAACTCCTTCTCCTCAGGGGGTGGTGTATGAAATGCATTAAGGACGTATTTACTTACCGCAAACTTTTACGTATCTGCTGGCCATCTTCACCCAGGGAGTCCACATTTTAATGGTCTTTCTTCTGTCATATATCACCTATTATGGAAGCACAGGAATTAACCACACCAGACTGAAACGGAAAGTCTTTTTATTTTAGCTTCTTTTTTCATTTAGCTGAAAGAAAGAGCCAATTTGACTCGCCACTAACCTCCAGTGCTCCACGCGGTTAATCGGCACCACGATTAGGTCCTTACTGAACGTATCCACCTTCTTACTTCTTGATAACCTCCAGAAATTATTCAGGCTTAGAAAAAAGTATTGAAATCATGAAGCACTGGAAATCCCTTCTTCTTATTGCTCTCCACCAGAAGTTTCATGTAGAAATTGGTCACCTATTCATAAGGGAACATATTTCATAGAATCAAAGAAAAATAGGGTTGGAAGGGACCTCAGGAGGTCATCTAGGCCAACCCCCTGCTCAAAGCATTAACACCGCATGCCCCCGGAGGCTGGGGGGCCACAGTGAGCTCCCGCAGGTGGCGGCAGGCGGTGTTGGGGGTGGTGGGAGTGTGGCAGCGGGGAGCTCCTGCAGGCGGTTGCGGTGCTGTCCATGGCGGGGGGTGGCGAGTGCCAACCAGCAGTCAGCGACCACACGCAGACGCCGCCGACAGCATCAGCGGCGGCCAGCAGCAATCGTGGACCACCCAGAGATGCCGCCAGCGGTGTCGGTGGTGAGTGGGGGGAATGGTAAGCAGTGACCGCCTGCAGGTGCCGCCAGCAATGTTGGCATCGCCTTTTCGCAGGGGGTGCAATGCCATGGGCACCCCCTATGCGTCACCAGTGGCTCAAATTGGACCATCCCTAACTAGATCATCCCAGCCAAGGATTTGTCTAGCCAGATCTTAAAAACCTCTAAGGATGGTTCCACAGTCTCTCTGGGTAGGTAATCAGTGCTTTTTTGGGGGCAAGGGAGGGAGGAAGTCAAGTTGGATTGCCTGTCTGCTCAAATTCACATCTTCCTGCTGGATCAAAGCAAAAGTCAGAAACCAGCCTTGTAAACAAGCTAGAAAGAAGTTAGAGGTATACTTTTTAATCTATGCACAAGGAAACGAATTCCCATTTGACGAGTTTTACCTTGTCTTCGAGCCACTGACAGTTCCTTAGTGTCTGGATATCCTGACGAGGGGTCTTTAATTCAAAGGCACTGCTCAACATCTCATAATGCTGGCCATAGCCAATTTGTGATCTCTCTCTTCATGTCCAGAAACAAGCAATTCCATGGGATGACTAACGAGCAGGGATCTGGGTTCTCCATTTCCCATGGGAAAATGGAGCAAACTGCAGATTTTACAGTTGAAACCATAGGTTTCTCGTTTTACCGTAGAAACCCGCGGATTTTGCAGTTTGGAAACAGGCAGAGCTCCAGCCTGCAAGAGGCTGGGAGGGAGCGGGAGGAGGGCAGTGAGGCAGGGGGGTGCCCTGTGTGTGTGTATATGCACGTGGCCACCAAGAACCTGAAGAGCAGCTCCCGCAAGTAAGTGATGGGGGGAGGGATTGAGGCACCCACAGGGAGAGAATTGGACCGGGCTAGAGCTAGGGCTGCTGTCCACCTGGGCAGTGGTGGGGCTTGGGGCCTGGAATATATCAAATAAAAATAAAATTTAAAAAGTTCCTGTTCTTAGCAGTTTAAGCTCTGATACATCCCTCGCTGCGAGGACTGATGCCTTAAATGACTTTTTGGCACTGGGAGAGGCCCTCAGAGCATCACAGAGGGACAAAGCTCTCGCTGCCGTTTGCAGTTGCTTCCTAGTCCAAAAGGCTAGCCAGGGGAGAGGGTACACCAAGCCAAGTCCCTGGGTGGGCTTAAACCACCCACCTTTCAGTTAACAGCCAAACGCACTAACCCATTGCGCCACAGAGACTGGCCAAGGCTATAGTTTCCCTTTGGCTCCATCACGTTCTGCCAAGCAACCCTTCAGGCTCTGCAGCCAAGCATATGCCTGCAGCACCGTCTGGGCTTTCCCTAGCAAGGAAGGGGCTGCTGGGTTCCCCCTGGGAGAGGGGATTCCCTTCCAGGCAGCCCTAACTGGTGGGAACCCAGCACTTGGGCCTGGAAGGCACACTCAAGCTGGAGTGTGCTGGTGGGGGAAGATCACTGGTGCAGGGCAACATCATCTGTCAGGATAGCTGAGTGGTCAAAGGTGCTGTGTTCAGGTTGTAGTCTCCCCTGGAGCCATGGGTTTGAATTCTGCTGCTCACAGCTACCTCTTCTTTTCCCTGCAAGGCTCCCTCCTTGCCTGGCTGTTGCCATTGCAGCTGAGGACAACCCAGCAATTTCCCCACTTCGGTCAGCTCAACATGGGCAAGGACCACAGCTTCTTCTTGCCTCCAAGCTGGGCTGACAAGTGTGAGCATATCCAGCTGCGCAGGCCATCCCTTGGTGCTTTGGGCTGGCCCTTGGGCCTGCACCCTGTGCCGGCCTCTCTCTCCTGAATGCTGGTGGTGGTGGTGCTGATCCATGCCACTACTTGACATGGCTGCCAGCCCGTCATGGGGCGTGCTAGCCCCGGGAGGACAGACACGGTGGCACAGCCCTCTGCTGCAGGAGACGAGATGGCAGGTGAGCAGCAAGGGAGGCCCAGCCCACCTCCTCCCATTGCCCGGGTGGACTGGGTGCCCACAGCTCGCCCTTCCCACTCTGGGTCAGGCAGAGGAATCACTGCTGGCCTAGCCCACCCAAACCCCACCACGGCCCCTGAAGTGGAGACAGAGAGGTCCCCCCCCCACTTCTCTCTTCCAAAATCCTGCCTTGCGCCCCTGCTCTTCTACTCAATAATAAGACGATCCCCAAGCACTTGCTCATGCTGGCGCTCTGGCTCGCTATGGTCACTAGGACGGTGTGGTTCATGGAGATCTCCCCCACTGTGGCCGGGATGGCCTTTGCCAGGTGGTCCTGGACAGCATCGTGGCAGAGCCACTAGACTCTGGCGTGGGGCCCGCAGGCGCACAGCACATGGGGGAGGGTCCCCGCTTCGTAGCTGCACACATAAGACTTATGTCCCACTATAGTGAAAAGTATATAAGGTCTCAGGGAGACCGGGCTGGGAATTAAAGGCTGCTGAGGAAGAGGCAGGTCACCCACTGAGCTCACAAGAAAACACTGGGGAAACCATTGGGGAAAACACGGGGCATGTTCCTTGTGCTGGAGGCTCCGTTTCCTCACCCAGTCTCTATGTCATCCTGCTCCTGAAGGTCTCCACAGCCCTGTTGTGGGTCTGGGTTTCCCCTCTTTGGAAGGCCTGAAGGCTACTGTTTGCCCTGGCTGCAGGTGTGAGTGAGAATAGGATCTCTGGGTAGAGCCAAAGGTCTACTAACCTCATGTGCTGGTGTTTCTACAGCCAGCAGCAGACGTCTGCGATGCAGCCAGCATCCCATCCTACCTCCTGTGACCGCCGCCGAGCCTGAACAGCCAGATTCCTATTTACATCAGGGTGGACTGAAAGCAACCTCCTCTACCCCAGTTATGAGTTCATGCCTTTTGGAGAACTGACAAGTGACCTTAACAGATCTGCCACTGTGTTACCTTTTCATTAATGGATGACTATGTTTTCAGTTCCTCTGACCCCACACACCCTTACCTATTCCCACCACTCACCAGCCTACAGCATCTTAAAAATTCAGCACGTGGTGCAGAGACCCATCCCCTCCCTCATTCTGTGTCCACCTCCAATGAGAAGACAAACCAGCCCTCCCCACAAAAACTAATAGTGGTCATTTAAAAGTCACAAGGTTTATTTACTTTGAAGGAAAGTAAGGACTGTTTTATGGCCTAAGAATCAGCAGAGGACAATGGAGAGTATGAAAGGAAAAAGGTGTGCATGATGCCACGTAATTAGTCCCTTGAATTAGTCCCTATGGGAGTATTACAGAGCCAGAAAGCCTTGGGACTAGCAGAGACTACACAGTTCACACGGGGAGATTACAATGTGCTGAATTTCAGCCAGAGGATCACAGAAACATAAGAGATGTGGGGTTGAAAGGGACCTCTAGTCCAAACTTCTGCCTGAGGCAGAACCATCCCTATTCAAACCATTGCATATAAATACTCATCTAAGCTACTAATTAAAATACATGGTTAAATCTGTCATGACCAAAAAGCATAACACCCTAACATGCGAAAGAAAGCAGGGGAACAAGGGTGGCCGGTGTGCTGCTGCTGTGAGGGGCGTTAAAATGTAATGAAGGAGATCCAAGTAAGAGGGCCACATCCACCACTACAGAAGATGAAACCCCTAGTCTGCACCGCTTCACATGGCAAAATTCCTTCCTGACCCCACATATGATAATTGCTCTGATCCTGAGCACAGCGACAAGACCCTCTAAGCCAGGAACCTCCAGGTTTTAGTCCCAGCAGAAGCAGTGGCATAGCACAGTCAAAATCCCCATCTTTGGCTGCAGCTAATACCCCATGCTTCCAAGGAAGAAGAAAACCCCGACTTGTAGCAACAGGAGGGGGAAAGTATTCCCTCCCAGTCCCATGTGGTAAACAGCAAAGCCCAGGAGCCTGAGAAATACCCATAGTACAGGAAAGGCATAGCTCCTTCTACATCATCCCAGAACCAAGCTTGCTTGCACCATTTCCATCCTCTTCCACGGGAGAGGCAGGGCCTGCCACAGACTACACCTCCTTCACCCCCATTTCACCCAGAAAAGGGACTCCAATGCCCTCAGCTCAGAGGGTCTTTGCTGAAAAGCAGTAACCCAGGCATAACTGACACCTGCTCTCAATCTGAGTTGGGAACAACCCTTGGATCTTGCTGATCCCACTGGAAGTGGAAGGGGGCCTGGAAATCCCAGAAGCCTTTGGGCCTGGAAGGGGCTCTGGCACCTGACCTCTTCCTGTGTTCCAGCTCTAGAGAAGAGGCAGAGACCAAGTAGAGAGATAATATGTTCAGTTTCTGGACATTATTAGCAGAGAAACCATTATAGAAGAGGGCAGGGGAAAGGGGTGGGGGAAAACAGCAGGCAGCTGACCTCACTACCCTTTATTTCGAATGACAAGGAGCAGCTCCAACCCAGGCCCCTCCACTGTATCGACTTACAGGGGGGGTTTCCTCTCAGCCTTCAATCAAACATCAGGAACCAGCTGCTGGGCCTAGAGGGCCTGTGTGTGGTGTCTTGTGAGGGATGAAGACAGAATGAATTCTTTCCTGCATTCAGTTCGGGGGTGAGGCTGCTTGTCTAAAAGCATCTCCTAGTGGGAGCTGAGTGTCACCTGCCCTTCCACACTGCAGGTGGAATTAAGGCTTCTGCATGTGGATATGCTGGTGCCGGGCCAGATGCTCCTGGTGCCCAAAGCCCTTCCTGTAGTCAGTGCAGTGGAAAGGCCGCTCCCCTGAGTGGACGCGTTGGTGCAGGGTCAGGTTGGAGGACTGGTTGAAGCTCTTCCCACACTCAGTGCAATGGTATGGCTTCTCCCCAGAGTGGATGTGCCAGTGCCGGGCCAGGTGGGAGGCCCGGCTGAAACTCTTCCCGCACATGGTGCAGTGGTATGGCTTCTCTCCAGAGTGGATGCGCTGGTGCTTGTCCAGGTTGGAGGAGGAGCTGAAGCTCTTCCCACACTCGGTGCAATGATATGGCTTGTCCCCAGAGTGGGTGCGCTGGTGCTGGGCCAGGGCAGAGGCCTGGCTGAAGCTCTTCCCACACTCAATGCAGCAGTATGGCTTCTCCCCAGAGTGAATGCGCTGATGCTGAGCCAGGGTGGAGGATGAGCTGAATCTCTTCCCACACTTGGTGCAATGATATGGCCTCTCCCCAGAGTGGATGCGCTGGTGCTGGACCAGGGTGGAGGAGTGTTTAAAGCTCTTCCCGCACTCAAGGCAGTGGTGCAGCCGCTCCCCCGTGTGCTGGAGGTGGTGCCGAGCCAGGTTGGAGGCCTGGCTGAAGCTCTTTCCACACACAGTGCAGCTGTGAGGCTTCTCCCCAGAGTGGACATGCCAATGTTGAGTCAGGTGGGAGGACTGGCTAAAGCTCTTCCCACAGTTGGTGCAGCAGTATGGCTTCTCCCCCGTGTGTGTGCGCTGGTGTTTCACCAGATCTGACAGGCGAGCGAAGCTCTTCCTGCACTCCACGCAGCTATGCGGCTTCTCCCCCGAGTGGATCTTGTGGTGGGTGGCCAGGTTGCTGGGGTCAGTGAAGCTCTTCCCACACTTGGTGCATGGATGCACTGGCTTGTGTATAGCCAGGCATGACTGCCAGTCAGCAAGTTTCCCATGCTCAGAGCAGGGATGGGCTCTCTCCTTACAGTTGGTGGTGAGCTCCTGCATACCCCCAAGAACCTCCCCACCACCTTGGTTAGGATGCAGCCTCTCTTGCAGATGAAGCTTACTTATATGGCTCTTCAGATCACTTAGCTCCTCCAATCCTTTCCTGAACTCCAAGCTCCTTAAGGACTTTGACTTGGCTCCACTCTCACACGCAACTGGAAACGGTCCCTTGGTCATAGCCATATTCTCTCTCTGCTTTTGGGGCCTGTCCCAACTCCTTTGCCGCTGGCCCAGCTCTTGTGCCCAGAGAGACCAGGGCAGAGGATCTCCCCAAGACGTCCTCAGCAGCTCCAGGTTTGGAGGCCCATCCTCTGGAGGCTGCACCTCTTCTCTGCTCAGTGCCCTGGCACCTGCTGGATGGAAAAGGGAACCTAAATATTAGTCCCTCGGTACCCAAGTCTTGGGGGTAGAGAGGAACTGGAGAGTGCCAGGCTAACATTACTCCATGTCAACCAGCCCATAATGCTGCCTGCTGCATGCACTGGCCCCAGCCTGCATATGGCACATGGAGTCTATCTAGCATGGGCTAGGACTGGTGTGGGGCACATACTGCATGTGGTGTGTATGCAAGACTGATCCTGTGCACTGGATCCAGGGCCAATCCAGATCAGACCAGCAGACTGTCCCAGATCTAGCACACGGAGGCAGTCCAGCATAGACGTCACACTCCTGCCCCAGTCAATGAACGTGGAATCCGTTTTCCCAGTGGTTCTGTCCAGCTCTGACCACACCGGAGTGGGGAGAACTGTGTTACATTAGCCCCAACTGGATGAGCCATGTCAGACATAGGCTGGGATGGTATGAGAATTGCTCCATGCTCTAAAGGGGAGGCGCGAGACCAGAAGCACTTGCTTTAAGGAAAAGTAAGGATTGCTAAGGCTTTGTCTATAAATAAAGCACTGACTATTCCTAAGAAAGATGGTAAGAGCACTTCCCTATGCATCTGAGTTTGCTGATATGCTCCAGACCCATGAGTTCATGTGTGAGGCTGCTTGGACAAGTCCCCAGTGCTTGCTCTTGAGCTTTCAGTTTCTGGTAGGCCAGAGAAAAGTTTCTGGGGATGAGCCTGAAGCTGCCACAGTGGTAAAATTTTGGTCTGGAGTGCATCAGCACACTTCGGTGTGTTGACCTACCAGCCTCCTTGGAGTTACCACTGCTATAGTTAGGGGTCTACTGAACATGAAGGGGTGGCCAGCCATTTTTGCAGGCTTAGTATAGTGGAGTCCCCCACACCTCCGATTGGCCAAGGGGCCCCAGCAGTCCTGCCCTTCCCAAGAGATTGCCACATGGCTTGAAACTGAGGCTTAATTACCTTGATTAAGCCAAAGGGAAGCCATTAATCCACATGTTATTAAACCTGGCTTAATTGATTCCCCAGGCTTAATCCAGGGTAAATAAGCCATGGTTTCAGGCCATCCCCAGGTGGCCGGTTCCACAATTTTGGTGGGCTTGCGGGGAAAAAACGCTTACTGGCAAGCAGAGAAACCATGCAGTTTGGAGCACAGGAGGAAGGGTGGAAGCTGCCAGGGAAAGTGCCTGCCACAGGACACGTCCCAAATGGACAGCACAGCCAGGCTGGACTGCTTGCCTGCAGTGCAGTGCAGCCTGAGAGCACCTGGGCTCTACTTCTTGCTTGGCAGCCACATGCCCCACCAGACCCAGGCATTTAACTTGGGGTGGGTCAGGGGCCATGGTGGCAGGAACAGCTGCTCCCGTTCTGTCCCGAGCTCTATGAGCTGCTGCACCCCTGGATGCTGCCAGCTGGGAGCAAGGTGGGAGCTGGGGTGCCTCCCCCCCAGTCCCATTGCAATGTGGAGGGATTCACAGATTGTAGAGTTGGAAGGGACCCCAAATGATCATCATGTCCGACCCCCTGCCCCAGGGGGATGCAGCAGGTCCCGCCCACCACTCACCTTGGGCTGGCAGAAGATGGGCTGCTGCTGCTCCATGTCCTGCTTCATGCCACCGCTGTCTCAGTCTGGTTGCCAGGACCTTGTGGCACTGCCACCCTCTGCAGCCAGCTCCGCTCTCGCCTTGCCACTGCTCCACGTCAGTGCCTCCTGCAATCATTGTTTTTAGAGAAATATATACATCAGTTCAGTGTGCAGCAGTGACCAAAAAAAGTCAGTAAAATGCTGGGCATCATTGACAAGAGAATAGAAAGCAAAAGAAAGAACATTCTCATAGGTTAATAACACGTGATCCAAGCGGGGACTTGAACTGTCCAGTACACACTGCCCCTCAAACAAGTCCAAGGAAACTATGGATGCTGCCCAGTGAAACTCTGTCTAGAGACGTGCACAGAGGAGTAACAGGAAGAATTGCCTGGGTTCCCCCTCACCAGAATTTGATTCCTGGTTTGATAGATGGCAAGCTTGATTAGAGAGAGAAGGAGTTAGACCAGGATGTCCTGGGATTTGGTGAAGCCATGGATGGGCAGTGCATAGAAGAGGTGCAAGGAGAAGCGTGGCCAGAAACTCAGGTTACTCAGGAGCCAATGGAGGGGCTGCAGCCATTCAAATTAGGTGTGTGAGGTTTCCCTTCTAACACCTGCCCCTTCTGTCAACAAAGGGATGACCCTGAAGTTTGCCAGATACACACACAAGGACACAGCTCCATGCAGGAGGCTCATGGCATCAAGGTGAAATACGAGTTAGTCTGGGGACCCTCGCTGAGGGTATCCCACTGCCTGATGTCTGGGCAGGATACAAGGAAAGGAGAGTGGAGCATAAGTATGTAGAGCTGGGGCTGCGTGGAAACAGACCAGCTTTGTATCCCCCTGCCTGATGAGGTGGTGTGGTTAAGAATGCTCTGCTGGACAGCCAGCCTTGCAGGGCTGGGGGAAGGCTAAGTGGGTGGGGTGCTCATTGATGATGAGTACCTAGTGACTGCAGGTGGTAGCACACTCCCTTTAGTGGCAGGACCTTTCCTCTTCCTACCCCATCTGTAGGAAGAAGCTGAGAAGACCTTGGGTTTTCCTCTGTCCTTTTCTTTGGGGGAATCTGTGCCCTCCCCCACCCAGAGAAGCCCCCTGGCCTTACTTTTTCTTCCCCATCTCATTTGCTGCTCCTTTGCTGAAGACTGCCAGAGTGACAGTAGGCTCTTGCCTTGCCATGGGAAGCTAAGGGGAATAGGTGGGATGGTGAGGGGGAGCAGAAAGATGGTGGTATGCAGGGAAGGTGTATCAGGGTGCTTCCTCAGACTGCACTTTGGAAGGGGGGACTGTGTGAAAGGCTAGCATGGGAGAGGGAAAGCAGAGGTGAAGGGAGCTGGGGAATAAACACAGAAAGACAAACAGTGACAAACTGGGGGACGGAAAGCAAACTGCTGGCTTAGTCAACCTAATGCAAACACCATTAGGGAGTAGAAAACAGGATGCAGCACAGGAAAGTAGATGGGGGAAGGTGGGGCAACAGGAAGGTTAGGGGGGGATGTGCTGTAATAGGTGGTGCTGGCAGTGGAAGAGCTCCACCAGCAATGCTGGGGTACATCCTCTGGCAGGAAGCAGTTGCAGTTGCGGCAGCAGAAGGGAGAGGAGCATCTGCCTCCCAAGTGGGGAAGGAGGCATGGGTCAGTACCCAGGTGGGTACAAGAGCCTGCAGCACCTCAGAGCTGTGCCCAGGACCAGCCAACCAGCAGCACCTGATGGTTCCCCCTGCTGAGGACAGGCTATCAGGCTAGAGGAACCATTAGTCTGACCCAGTAAAGCTTCTTCTTTCATGTTCACTTCCTTCATAGCTCAACCCTAATGGCTCTTATAGGGCTTCTGCTGACCATGAAAGCTGCTGTGGTATGCTAGAAATCCCATCATACCTTAGCAGAGGATGCGATAGTTAAAAGCTGGGGAGTTAACTCTTACATTGCTGAATGAAGGTGGAAATTCCAACCCCTGGCATCCCAGGGATACCAGACTTGTGCCTCAATTCTAGCATGGCATGCCTTCCTCATGGGTGGCCCCCACAACAGAACCTCCTATCCAGGTAGCTACAGCTCCAACTGCAAGAGGAGAGAGTGATAGGAAACGCAGTGTTCGTGCCCAAACACCCTGAATTAGGGGAAGAAGGAAAGAATTGTCATTTTCCACATTACTGAATTGCAGGAACACACAGTATGCTATTTAAGGTCACTTCCTTGGGCAACAGTTAAAGTCAGATCTGCAGGTTTCCACTTCCCACTGGATACTGAGAAGTCCTGAGTGGGAGGTAGGGACAGTGAGTGGACTGGCAAGACTTACCTGGGGACAGATCCTCAGACCAGGAGCTTTCTCCAGGGTCCTCATCATTCCAGACCCAAATCTCCACCTCCTTTTGCTGGATGCGGCAGATTAATTCTGGTGTGGGACCTCGATATCCTGTTGGAAGAAGTGTAGAAAAAGTGGTAAGGTTTGGTTCCTCTTGCTCCACTACTCAGCTGGGATTTGGGGAAGGGACTGAGTGAACTCAGGCCTTCTACTGGGGCCTTACAGGAAAAGCAAAAGTAAACAATTAAGATTGAAAGAGAAGCCACCACAGGCAAAACCTGCAAAAGCTGATGGTCCATGTACCCCAGGGAAACAGAATAGTAATATGACATACAAAGCATCAACCATTCAGATTACATAAAGGATAGAAACTTCACAGTAGTACCATAGCGCACGGGCAGAGGTGCAGGGATCTGTGACATACTAGAAAGAAGAAAGATAAATCTTATATACATTTGTAAGACACTAAATTGAAAAAAGGACAATGAACACACTTATGGATGGATATAATTTACATTATCATGGTCATTCCAGGCAAAAAAAATGGAAATGGGTTTATTCTCCAAGTTTTGCAGTGCTTAGTTTTGGAAGTGAAATGGATCAATAGCAGATGGATGACACGGAAACCGTAATTTCTATCAAGAGTTCACAAAAATGGATGACTGGAACTGTGGACGCACCTATGGCCTTTTGAACCAATAGAAGGACCATCACAAGAGTGAGTATCAATGCACAGGTTGCAAAAATGAGGACAGCATGTAGGAGAGTCCATCAGACTTATGGGTACAGACAAAAGGAGAAAGAAGATATATTTTTTTACAGCCAAAAACCAAACAAACACCCATAGCACAAAATTAACTAACACTTCCCCAGAAAAAAGATGACCCTAGAATCACCTCTGAAAGAGATGGCCTTCCAATGCAAAGAGATTTCATCAGGACCGGAAGAAGAGATATAGCACAAGTCAAAGGTTAATACTGTGGGGTCCAACACAGCATCTCACCTGCTGACTCCAGCTTATTCTCAAATACCCAATACAGAAATAAGAACACCAGAGGAATAGATGCAGTGGTGGAAGTTAGCGCATAACAGAAATCTGTAACAGAAAAAGGTTGATGCAGAGCACAGCAAAGCAGGGCTGGAAGAGACCTCATGAGGTCATCACATCCAGCCTCCAACTCATGGCAGGATCATCCCAGACCAAACGAAGGATCTGTCCAACCTGCTCTTCACAACTTCCAGGGATGGAGATTCCACAGCTTCTCTTGGTACCTTGTTCCAAATGTTTGATCACCTTCATTGTCAGAAAGAACCTCCTATTCTCCAACCTAATTTCCTCTGTTACAGTTTAAAGCCATTGCTTCTAGTCCTGTCCCCAACACATACAAGGAAAAGGTTATCCCCATCCTCTTTCTAATTTCCCTTCAGGTATTTGAAGACTTGCATCTTTCCAGCCTTCTCTTCTCCAGATGAAACAATCCTAGTTCTTTCAGCCTTCCTTTGTAAGTCATGTCTCCAGGCCACTACACATTTGCATCACTCTCCACTAGGCTCTCTCCAATCTGGCCACATCTTTCTTCAAGTGTGTGGCCCAAAAGTAGACGCAGTACTTCAGGTGAGGCATGATCTGTGCTGTCACTGAAGAAGTCATAGATGAAACATGTAAGGAAAGCCAGGCAGAAAACGTGGTGGGATACAAAGGTTCAAATGAGAGACTGAAGGAAAGAGGTGTCTCCAATGAGTGACAAAAATAGATTTGGACCTAGTCATTTAATGCAGAAAAGACAAGATCTGTAAAAATTCAGTAGCAAGAGAAGCAGTGCTAAATGACTTGCAAGTCATAGTTTCGTAGTTGGTAGGGTGGGAAGGGACCCGAACAGATCATCAAGTACGACCCCCTGCCATGGCAGGAACGGATGCTGAGGTCAAATGACCCCAGCAAGGTGACACTGTCTAGCCTCCTTCTGAAGACCCCCAGGGTAGGAGTGAGCACCACTTCCCTTTGAAGTTGGTTCCAGATCCTAGTCGCCCTGACTGAAGTAGTGCTTCCTGATGTCTAGAAAACACATGTGAAACAAGGGCCAATAGTACAGCAATCTTGACGTGTAGGACCCCAACTGAACACGTAGAGAAGCTACATTAGCTGGGAATTGAACCCAGGTCTCCTGCATGGCAAGCAGGAAATCTACCATTGAACCACCAATGCTCAGATACCAATGCAAAGAGATTTCACCAGGACTGGAAGTAGAGATATAGCACAAGTCAAAGGTTGATACCGTGGGGTCCAACACGGCATTTTACCTGCTGACTCCAGCCTATTCTCAAATCCCTAATACAGAAAAAGAACACCAGAGAAATAGATGCAATGGTGGAAGTTAGCTCATAACAGAATGCTGTCAAACTGAACGGCAACGAGGATGAAAGAACAACTGAGAATCTGGTTAAAAAACCACAATGCATAAACAAAGGAGTTAGATACTGAGGTCTTCTATGATGTTAATGATGGGAAAGGTGGATTAACAGCTGATCTCAAGGTTTTTTCAGGCACACAGGATTTCTATTTTGAGACTTTATTGAAAAGTGAATATTCCAGAAAACATGTGCCTCAGTTACAACTGTAAATGGGGTTGAAATCCCAGCTGACAGAGCACAATAACTACATTAAAAATATGAATATAGCAGGATTGTTTGGAACCTATGGAAGTTCCAAAAGAATGAGGAGATGAAGGGGAATGGTGATCACTGCATTTAATGCAGAAAATTATACAGGAAGACAAGATTACAGAACAATGACCAAGTTTCACTATTCTTGTTCAAACAGAAGAAGAGTAACTATCAGTGCCCAACCAGCTGACAAGAGAAAATAGTCACTTAGTCATTTGCTAAACAGCAATAAAAAAGGCACTGAAACCATTGTAAACAAAATTCAGGGATAATTCAGGTGGTTCTAGAAAAATAAAAGATTAAACAAATCCTCAGACACAGTCAAGGAAAGTACAGAGAAGAATAAATAACTATAAATTATCTTTGCAGACCTAGGGGGTAGGGGAAGAATTGAGCAGGCCTCAAAGGAAGATTTTCAGTGGAAAGGAATACTAAAAGAAATTTACATCAACCTTTTCTTAGAAGTATCCAAGTTCCGTTATGTGTAGAAATGTCACCAGAGGATGAACTGTGGAAATAGAAACACCATGGGGTGAAACGGCAGATCTTGCTAAGACCACCATTAACTAACTTATGCTGGGGAGTAATAAAAAGAAAGGATACTAGAGGGGACTGCAAAACGAGGACTGTTACATATTTGGGCAAGCTGTTGGTGAATATCCATGAACAACGCATTGGAGATGGTATGGACATGTTGGGAGAGAAAAAGGGAAAATCATTTTACAAAAGAAATTGCAGAATATGGAAGCTCCAGGTGTTAGACCAAGGGGAAGACTCAAACAAAAGAGGATATAAGAATACACGACGCAGGAGGCCTGATCAGTGACAGAACAACAGTGGAGAGCAGTTTTAAACCAGCATCCCATATTTCATGATGAGACTGCAAAAGAGCAAGAAGTAAGGGACATTTCCGAGCTCACACAACTCCAAGGAGAAGCAAGCAACACAACTTTACCCAGGGAAACAAGGGTGTGGTAATTCCTCAGCATCTGATCCTGGTAAAGCACCTTGTCTTCATCTCCCAGCAGCTCCCACTCCTTCCGCGTGAAGTACACAGCCACATCCTCAAAGGCTTCCTCAAGCTGCAGTGACAAGTATTACATCTTCAGTCCCTTCAGCTCTAGCCTCCTCCAGCCCTGAGCCTTATTCTACACTACAAAAATTTTCCTGCATGGCAACACCAAGTAGAGATGCTCCAGCAGGGGACATGGCACGGATTCAGTGCTTCAATGCATTTGTCCACTTTAGCCCATGTCATTTGAGGAGGCGGGTCAGCTATGCCTCTGCTGGCATAGACTATGTCTACCATAGGGCACTATCATAACTACACCAGCAGAGAACCTGTAGGGCAGGTGCTCTGCATCTCTCCCAAGGAAGCTCTTTTCATGACAGTGACTCACAGGGAAAATCTCCTCCCTGGGACAGAGGATCCACAGAATTTACTCTCGTCTACCAGACACCTCCCCATAAACACCAGGACCCTGTAGGATGGGGTCAAGAGTCAGGGATGGGAGCTCTGAAGGACCCTGAATTCCAGGGGATCTACTGCCCTTAAACACCCAAGAACCTCCTTACTGATGTCCTATCTGAGCAGGGACTGTTGCAGTCATCCCTGTTGTGTCTTGCAGTGGAGTGGAAGCAAAGAGCAGGGGAAGGAATAAAGGGGAAATGTGGGTTCCTAGTAGCTTAAGACAGGCTAGACGCAGTACAAAATCAGCTTAGAAGCAGGAGACAAAGGGGATCAAGGTGCTCCACTCCCAAGCACAGAGACTACAATAGAACAGCTCCTGGAATAACACAGCGCCCAGATTTTCCTAAGCACAAGCCATGTGCATGGTGGCACAACCTCCAGATAGTAACAGCTTTTGCGATGCGTCTTTTCACCTTGTTAGACACTGGTGCAAAAAGAGTGGGACGGAGATTCATTTTACTGCTTCATGGGCTGTTCCCATTTTCCTCCAGCAGTCAGGAACATTGCTCATTCTCAAGAACTGTCTGCTCCTGGAAGGACCCGGCTGGGATTAGCAATGGAAATGTCCCATGCTCCTCAGGCCTAGTTGTCTAAGGGCAGACCTTGCTGAGCTCAGCTGCAGAGACTTCTTCCCTGTGCTCCTTGGTGCTGGCTGGGAGTCACAAAAAAGAGATTTCCTTTCTCAGGAACCTACTTTTAAAATGTTGTGCACGCAATTCTTTGAGCTATTTGAGCCATTGCTTCTAGTGTCAGAGAGCCTTGACTGCAGAGTCCTAGTCCTGCCCGCCCTGGCTATCTGTATGTGGCAGTGAGCACCTGCTTCCCCAAGGCCCCCCCTGCCAGCTGTTTGAAAGTAGCCACTCTCCAGTAAAGCTTATTCCTCCCCTCCAGGTCTCTCAGCTTCTCTATTTTTTCTCTGTACTCCCAAATCTTTCCAGACTCTGCCCTGGCTCCACTTCCACCCCCTACTGGAGCATGTACCTTTCTAGCTATCACATTGTCTCTCTGCCGCGGGGGGCTGCCTTGCCCCTTCTGCAGTTGGCTTGGCTCAGGTGCCAGGAAGTCCTTTTCCCCAGATCTTCTTGGGAGCATTCTCAGCAGCACCAGATTTACAGGCTCTCTCTCAGGAGGCAGCTCATCAGCTTTGCTCTGGGTCCCTGCAAGTGCTGGAAGGGGAAGAGATGCCACAGGTTAGTGCTGGTGCTTTGGGCACAGGGAAGCCCTTTCTATTTCCCCATGCCGACATGCGCCTACAGGAGCTGCAAGCTTCATTGTACAGGACAGAAGGAAAAAGGAAGTGTCAAAGAACCATGCTTTGGCCACAAAGTTGGAAACGAACCCCAATGACATATATGCAATATGGGACTGTGGCTGTTCCAGCCGGTGAAGTGGTTTCCAAAATGCCCCAGCGGGCAACACGTTGCCCAAGGCCATTTTTTCCACAGAGAGACAACACGGACTCCATCACGCGATGGGGGAGTCGGAACCATGGCCCACTGCTCCGGCTCCACGACCCCACCCAGCCCTGGTCCCCCTGGCCTGGCCTGGCCCAACCGGAGGGGCCACGTGGTGCTGTCCTGCCCTGCTCTGACGCACCCCGCTGTGCAGGGAGTGGGTCCCCCCCAAAACACCCCTCCAGGGTCCACCCCACAGACCCTGGCGGTCAGCCCTGGGCATGGTCCTGAGCGCCTGCATCCCACACCCACCCCAGTCCCACGTGCAGCCCCTCGGCCCATCTCCTCCCCGGCCAGAGCCAGCTCCACCACGTGCACCACATGGCAGGGCCCCTTCCCCCACCATCCACATGGGCCACAGCCCCCCACGCTCCCCTGCACACGGCTCCACAGACTCCCCTGCACAAAGCCTCACAGTCCCCCCAGCCCCCCCCTGCACACGGGCCCCCCCTTTGCACACGGCCGCAGCCCCTGGGTGGGGGGGAGGAGGACGGCCGTGCCCGGCTCACGCCCCGCACACTTTCCCGCCCGCCGCAGTGGGTTCGTGCACCCGTGGTTTTTTGGGCTTATATAAAACAGGCTTTTACATAAGCAAGTGAGTGTATTCCAAGCGTGCACTCGGTCCAGTAAGAGAAAACGCCCCGGGAAGCCCAGCCTCTTGCCTCGCCTAATCCCTGCGCCCGCTCCAATGCTGTTTGCAATCCGAGTCTTATTTTTTTGTCTCTGCGAGTGATCAGACGCCGGTGGATGGGCGGCAGCCCTGATTACAAGAGCGTTTCTAATCTAATCTCTCATCCGCGGCTTCTTTCATGTGGCTACGTTTTGAACATCCAGGAAGTCGCGCATCTTTTTTTTTTTTTTTTTGCTTTTTGATTTGTCAAAGCAAAATACGGACACATTTGAGAAACAGTTTCCCCGACCTCCTTCCTCGTGCCGGCCCGGGACGGAAGGGGTTAACGTGGGCACATGAGCTAGCCCTCGGCGGGCAGGGCGGAGCGACCATGGAGTCCGGGTCCTCCGAGGTTACCAGAGCGGAGGCGGAGTGACCATAGAGTCCCCGTCGTCCGGGGCCAGCAGAGCGGTCGTAGAGTCGAGGTCCTCCGGGGCCAGCAGAGCGGAGCGGAGCGACCATAGAGTTGCGGTCGCCTTGGGCTAGTAGAGCGGAAGCTGTGGTTGGGGGAGGCCGCCGCACTCCGGCAGGGAGTGCTGCTGCGCACGCGCGGAGCGCGGGGGTCGCAGTGAGCGGGGCCTGGTCCGGGTGCCGCCCGCCCGCTCGCTCGCTCCTGCTGCAGCCGGCCTCGGGCCTCGGGCCCTGGAGATCCAGCCCCGCCGCCTGCCGGGCCCAGCGGGGATGGCCGCACAGGTGGGGCGTCCGCGTCTGCCTCACTCGGGGGGTCACCGGAGGACATCGAGGCGTCGGGTTTCGTGCCCGTAGAGGACAGAGTAGCAGAAAGCCGGGATGGCCCCGAGTGTGTTACGCCCACTTGATGCAAACGGGAGGCTCCCCGGCTCCTGCCAGGCTCCCGGGCATCCAAACCCTGCGCCTCCGGGCTCGGGCCTGCGCCTAGGACGCCCGCCAGAGGATTTGGAAACACCCTCCGTGGCACAGAAATCTCAGGGCAGCCAGGTCAAAAGCCTGGCAGACGAGCTGCCTCCCAAATCCTCGCTCCGATTGAGATAGCCCGTGCGATGCAGCTCGGTGCCGGGAGGGAGAGCGGGCGCGCCGCTCCCCGGACGAGACGGGCCGAAGCGGGCGAACGCGGTTCGAACTCGGCAGAGCTGCGTTAGCCGCGGGGTCGGCAGTCGCTCGTCCGTCCTCGGAGCAGCCAGGCTGCTTTATCGTTGCGACGGGGAGCGAGGCGCAGAGGTGTGGGCATCGCAGGGTGTCCCGTGGCGGAGCAGGATACGTTGTTGGGGTCGTTACTGCTGGTTTCGTTACAGCGGCCCTATGCTACGTTTGTCACACCGGGGGCTTTTTTTGGAGCGACTGTGTTAGCAGAAGGGTGGGACGTTTCGTATCCACGGCCAGCGTAGCCATGCTGGCCAGTCTTTGCAGCGCAGCATAAGGTTCAGGGCGCTGTGGGTTGGAGGAGGCTGGGGCCGATGGGACTGAGCGCGTAACCCTTGTGCCTGCAGTTCCAGGAGGCGTTTGAGGACCTGGCGCTGTTCTTCACGCGGAAGGAGTGGGAGCTGCTGGGAGATGGAGACAAGGTGCTTTACCGGGACCAGATGCTGAGGAATTACCAAGCCCTTGTTTCCCTGGGTAAAGCTCTGTTTCTTGCTTCTCCCCAGAGTTGTTCATAGATGTTAGGGCTGAAAGGGACCTCAGTAGATCATCGAGTCTGACCCCCTGCATAGGCAGGAAAGAGTTATGCGAGCTTGTTCTGACTTTCTTCTCTACAGTCTTCATAAAACCAGAGAGGTGGGGCTGGAAGTCAACTAATCCACCCCCCTGCCTGAGGCAGGATCGTCCCTGTCCAAACCATGCTGTGCAATACATAATCAAAACTCTACAAAAGACTATCATCAGTTCTGACACAATGGAGACCCAAGACCCTCGCCGTCTGTAGGTAAAGCCAGGGAATTGTTCCTGTGAAATGTTGTCAATATAGGCTGAGATCCTGAGTAGAGGGCCATGCCCCCTGCAACAGGATGGCAGAAAACCTTCCCCTGAAGAAGGGTTGGGCTGAAGGTGGATTTAAACCATTCCCCTAGTGTTCTGCCATTGATCAGGCTTATGTTCTGTTCTGTGTTTTCATATCCTCCTTTATTTGAACCAGTCCCTTTCCTCTGGGTTTTCCTTGGGCTGCATCCACATTTAGAAATTATTTTGCAAGAGATCTCCCTTGGCTCTCTCAGTATGCCCACACTATTTCCAACCCATTGTTTATAAATATTCAAGAAGTGCTCTGGCTTGAGAGAGAAGTCTTCCTTTCTCATTCTCTTTCCTGTTGTATCATGCCCAAGCGTTTAGCTGTCTTAAACTGCATGCTTCAGTGGAATTTAATCCACTTGGTTCTCTTGGGTTACTACCCAGCATAAATCCATGGAGATCTTATCAGCATCTCCTTCAACATTTGGCTTTTCCATTTCCTCAACTCGTCCTCTAATGACGTTTCTACACACAATACAATCTGAGTCCTAAGGAGTGCCTGCGAGTTTCTGCCCACGTACCTCTCTAACATCTCTATGTCCACAGACTATGGATTTTGCCTTTTCTGCATTTACTTTAATACCCATCTTCTCAAGCTCACTGTGCTATTCTATAAGTTTTTTTCCGTTCTAAAATCTCTTCGTATTTCAGGAGGTCTCCTGCAAACATCACCTGATCCAGAGTGCAGGGCATCTAAGTTCTTGGCAGGTGACAGTGATCACTGTGATAAAGAAGTGGGCTGAATGCAGAGCCCTGATCCTTGTTCTGACTACTGTTGAGGTTTGTATGTGCATTTAGCTAGTCAGGTGTACTTTTGTGGTGCTTTATTCTTCCTCTATCGTCATCAAAGACCTACTTTTTAGTTTTAGGAAAAAGACTAAACAGAACCTAAAAAGGGCAAGCTTATTCTTTATTTTTTCTTGAAAGTGGCTGGGGATGTCTTGCTTTTTCTCCTTTTCTAAAATCAAACTAATGATTGTTGATTTATTGTGGTTCTCTTATGTCTAACTTTAAATATCTTTTTCATCATTTTTCCTCAGTGAATGCCTAAGTAATTTTTTGCTCCTGCATTAAAACCATGGTACTGCTCTCTTTCAGTTTGAACAAGAATAGTGATACTGCATTTGGTTGCCAGTTATCTGGAAACTTCTTGTACTATACACTTTTCTGGATGAAGCAACCAACCATCATTCCCCTTCATCTCCTAATGCTTTAGGAATTTCCACAGGTTGGATCTATAACCTTGCCACTTCTCCTATTTTCTCCAGTTGACTTTTGCCTCTTCTAACTTTCTCTGCATTGTCAGTTGGCTTTGCGATTTCATTTACAATGTCAGTGGATATAAATTTGCTCTGGGATATTCTTCTTTCAAGAAATTCTCAAAATTCATCATTCATGCACGGACAATTTCTGTTAGCTAAACTGTTAATCCACCTTTCCCATCACTAGTAGTATTTGAGACATTTATTATCCAAGTCCTCCACTTGTCCAAGTGCATGCATAGTGGATTTTAGCCAGCTGATTGTTTTCTCATTCATCTACTGTTTAGTTTTTTCTATGCGTCGCTTATGCTGCTTCTCTTACCACTGCCCTTCCTACAACCCTAATCTTATGTGACTTGGTATCACCTAATAAGTTTTCTGTGGTTGTAAAGACAACTCCTTTCCTTATATTCCAAAATGCATCTGCATCAAGTTTATTATTATAGCAAGACTGTGGCATTTGTTATATAAAGCCCTAGATTTCAGTTCTGAGCTAACTTCCACCATTTCATCTTTTCCCCTGGGGTTACCCGTCTTCATTATATTATTTCTGTGGGAATAATCCAATGTCAGCTAGTAAGAACCAATGTTAGGCCAATTCATGTCAAACAGGCTAAAGGAAACAGAAGTTATGGAACTGGAAAGAGTCTAGGTAACATCATAGGCAAATAACCTAGATAGCCAAGGAAAAAGTCAAGACAAAGTACAATGACAAGGAAAGACTGCAGAAGTTAATGGTTTTAAGTTCAGTCTGACCTGTTTGTATCTAGCTTAACTGCAAAATATTAGAACAGCACACAGACTTGCTTTCAATTAGCATTAAGGCAAATTCTTATTTAGGTTTTAACTGGCTGTTAAAAGGGCAGTTTTATCTTCAGCTGGTGCTATGTTACTTTTGCACTGAAATCTTGTTCAGGTACAAGAACACATCTACAGATGTTTAGATACCCTTTCTACTGAGGCTTAGGGCATTTGTGTGCATGCTTCTGCTGCAGCACCGGGCACTTCTAAAAGCACCTAGCGCTGCAGCACATACATTTGTATAAACGGCAAAATGTGCATCAGCACACAGAAAATGGCAGTGGTGCGCTTTTGAACTAAAACACATTGAAGGTGTTTTAGTTCAGACGTGCAGTGCCGCTACTTTGCGTGCTGACACATTTCACCATTTATAGAAATGCATGTGAGACAATGCCAGGTGTGTCAGCTTGCGTGTCGAGCAGACTCGATTAATAGAGTCTGCTCCAACGGACTGGATCTCCAGTGTGTCGGAGCAGACAAATGTATGTGTATAAATGCCCTTAATCTCTAACACTTGGGTAAAGTAGGTTGTCTTAACAAGCTAGCCACCTGTTAGTGATTTTAAAACCATAGCACTAAGAAAACTTAGAATATTAAGATCATTTTCTTTTTTTCCCCAGGAATTGTAATGTTTCTCTCTCTCTTTAGGTTAATAACCATATTGCTTGTAACCTTTTCGGGTCTTGGGGATTTCTTTCTTTTCCATAATCTGACTGTTTGATTCTACATAAATGCTTTCTTTCCCCCCACTCCCCCAGTTTAGAATTCTTATTGGTTGTAACAGGAATAGCAAAAGTTTGACACCATTCCCTTTTTACCAATTGCCAGGTAAGAGTTTTATTATAGTCTTCATATAATCAGTCTTTTAGACTTCTTAGTTTTGTTGAGACAAAGTTGTCAAAGACCAATCTACAACTGTAGGTCAAAATATAGTCACCTCTAGAGTTAACGTGAAGTCATTCTTTCTTGTGCACTATTGGTATGAATTACTTCTTTCCCCCTCCCACTCGCCATAGAAAGCTTCATTTTCATCCAGCTGTCACTGACCCTTTTCACGTCCAAAACTTGTCAGTGCAAACTTAGTGAGACTAAATTGATTTTCAGTTGCCTGCCTGGAATCCCCTGAGAAGTTGTATCCATCCATAAGTGTGTCTGTTTAACTTTTCTACCTAGTATCTTAAAAGTATATGAAAGTTTCCTCATCTGTTCTAGTATATCACAGATCATTGCACCTCTTCCTTCTTTCTTCTGAATGGTTGATACTTTTTATTTCGTATAATCATAATTTCTGCTTACCTGGGTGGCATGGGCCATTATCTGTTGAAGGCTTCTGTCTGTAGTGCCCTCCTTTTGATGCTAAATGTCCTTCCCTTTTCCTTCAAGGCCCTCTTGGGATGTTTGAGTCCATTGGATCCATTCCTTAAATCCCAGTAGGGGGACTAAGTGGAGACTAACAAAGCATAAGCACCCTTTATGCACTTCCCTATATCAAGGTCCCACACCAGACTTAATCTGCCGCATTCAGCGAGGGGAGGTGGAGCTCTGGGTCTGTGACGATGAGGATTCTGGAGAAAGCGCGTCATCCGAGGGCCTGTCCCCAGGTGAGTTGTGGCAATTCCACCTGCTCCACCTCCTTAGAACCTCTCAGTACCAGAATGACGGGGAGCTGGAACCCAGCAACGCCACCTTCATCCTCCACCCCAAGATACTGACCTTAAACAGCTTACCCTGATCTATGTGGTCCAGGCAGGTAGGTGTTTCCAGTCCCTGCAGTTCGGTGATGTGGGCACAAGCAACTGTTAACTTTTTCTTTCCCTTTTAGGACTCTTGGATCGTGACAAGAGCCTGGGGAAAAGCTGAGCATGGGGGGAGGGGGAAAGCGGCCCCTTGCCCACCCCATGGCCAGTGCGCCCTGCTGCAGCCGCTTGCAGCCCACGCAGGGCTGTCCAGAACAGCCATAGGCAGCCCCAGGCAGGTCTATAGCCCGGGCCAGAAGCCGGGGCTTATGGGGTGGGGCCGGGCGGGCCCTGCTGTTGTGGGAGCCCGCCTGGGTCCTACTGCCTTTGGTTCCTGTCATTTTTGACAGAAACCAAGGGCAGATAAATCGTAACTTCCTAAATTTTTTAGGGGCCTCGCAGGCTGGATAGAATGGCCTTGTGGGCCAGATCTGGCCTGCGGGCCATATTTTGCTCACCCCTGCCTTAGGGCTTGCTTATACTACAGCAGCAGTCTGTTCCAGAGAGGGCAGTGCTCATCACACCCCATGCACCCATACTTGCTAACATATTCCAGACTCAGAAGTTTACCAGTGAGGCTGCTTCAGATTTACCCACACATGCCATTCTCAGGATGGCCAGAGAACTGGGACCTGGGAAATAAGCATGAGCCCCAAGCAGCCTCGTGGTGAAGTCATGGGTCTATAGTATGACAGCAACTTTGGGTGGGTGGGAGAGTGCTTGGCCCAATCTTCCCCCAGGACCCACCACTGCTCTAGTGTACGTAAGCTCTTTTGAGACTTTGTTCTTCCATTAGGCGGATGCCTCTTGTCTCCCAGCCATAGAGAGCATGGAGCCAGTCAGATTCTTTGCCAGCACACACAATCCACATATGTCTACCCCTGAAGGGTCTAAGCTGATACATCTCTCCCAGTAGCGTGATGAGTGATGGGCAACTGGAGCACCAGCCCCAAGTGCCCACTTAGAGGGACATTACGAATGATAGCTGCAGCTGTTGCCACTGCCAACCTAGTGCCCTCAGCCAGACTGGCCCCTTTCACTGCTTCTACCAGCACTGGTGCCCAGGGCACAGACCTTGACTGTTACACTTCTGAATTCTCCCCATTTAGATAAGGCTTAGATTTGGGACAGAACTACTGGGAATCTGAGTCTTCCACTTAAGCAGCATTAGCAAAGTGTACGGACTTGGTCCTCCATCGTCTGCATTGGGAACATTTGAAACTGGATCTCTTGTTCTCACAGGGGACCCAAGTGCCAAGGCCTAGCCTTGCTCTGGGACACATCTAGGCAAGTGGAATAGCAGCGCTTCCACTTGGCCAGAGGCACAGGGTCTAATTTCTGCATTCCCTTCTCTACCCAGCAGATGCCTGGATGGAGAGCAGAGCTGAGCAGCAACATCTGAGGGAAGCACCTGCATACCTGGAGCTGGTCCCAGTCAGAAACCAGCTACCTGTGCAATGGGCACAGAAAGCAGCTGAGCCCCGAAAAAGCCCTGCATGTAGGGAAGGATTCAAGGGGCAGAGAGATCTGAAGAGTCCTGAGGGCAGCACTCAGAGGGGGGAAGTGTTATATATATGTGGAGACTGTGGTAAAAGCTTCAGAGATCAACAGGAGCTCAGGGTGCATGGGGGGACCCATGTGAGGGAGACTGCTGACCCCCATGCCTATAAATCCCGTCTTGTTGAGCACCAGAGAATACATCTGGAGGAGCGCCCCCACCTCTGCCCTGAGTGCGGGAAGAGCTTCCTCCAGCTGTCTCACCTCCATGTCCACCAACGTGTCCATACCGGGGAGAAGCCGCACCACTGCTCTGAGTGCGGAAAGAGCTTTAATCAGTTGTCCCACCTTCGTGTGCACCAGCGCATCCACACTGGGGAGAAGCACTACTGCTGCGCTGACTGCGGGAAGAGCTTCAATCAGCTCTCCCACCTCCAGTCCCACCAGCTCATCCATGCTGGAGTGAAGCCCTATCACTGTGTTGAGTGTGGGAAGAGCTTCCGACAGAGGTCTACCCTCGCCCAGCACCTGCACGTGCACACTGGAGCCAAGCCATATGGCTGTGCTGAGTGTGGGAAGAGCTTCAACCGCTCATCCAACCTCCGTGTGCACCAGCGTCTCCACACTGGGGAGAAGCCACACCGCTGTGCCGAGTGTGGAAATAGCTTCAGTGACCCGTCACGGCTCCGTGTTCACCGGCGCGTGCACACGGGTGAGAAGCCACACCACTGTGATGAGTGTGGGAAGAGCTTCAGGGACCTGTCACGGCTCCGTATCCACCGGCGTGTCCACACGGGGGAGAAGCCTTACCGCTGCCCCGAATGTGGGAAGGGTTTTGCTCGCCCAGATCTCTTCCAGATCCACATGCATGTGCACCGGGGGGAGAAGCCATACCACTGCACAGAGTGTGGGAAGAGCTTTGTCCGCCCATCCTTCCTTCGGGCGCACTTGCACGTCCACACAGGGGAGAAGCCCTACCCATGTGCAGAGTGTGGGACAAGCTTCCATTACCCATCGCAGCTCCGCATCCACGAGCGCCTGCACACCGGAAAGAAGCCCTATCATTGCATAGAGTGTGGGAGGAGTTTCAATAGCCCAACCCACCTCCGCGTGCACCAGCACGTCCACACCGGGGAGAAACCGTATGGCTGCAACGAGTGTGGGAAGAGCTTCACCCGCCCATCCTACCTCCACGTGCACCAGCGTGTCCACATGGGAGAGAAGCCATGCTGCTGTGGCGAGTGTGGGAAGAGCTTCGGGGATCATTCTGCTCTGAGCAAGCACCAGGAAACCCACAGATCAGACCCTTGCCATTGATGTGGGATCAGTTTTTGCCAGCTCTCCTCTCAGCTTTCTCCCTACAGTCTGTGCCCTGGGGTGGTAGGGAAGGATCTGGCACCTGAACTAAAATGGCCTCACCTTTGCATCTGCCCAGGTACTAGGCTCACATAAGCCTGGGGATAGGAGTATTGTCCAGGAGACTCAAACATGCCATAGTTGGGTTTCAGGCTGCAACTGAGATGGAGGAGATAGGTGGGCTCAGGCCTGTGCTTCAGGAGCCCTGCGGTCTTTCAAGTTTTGGATTGGCAATCTGGTCAGTTGACCAGTCAAATATTGTCAGTTGACTGCATATTTTTGACTGGTCAAAAATTTTACCAAAAAAGTAATTTTTTTTGTAGTTTTCTTGACAGAAATATAAGTTTTTTTAAAATTGTTTTTGACACATTTCTTAATGGAAAATTGGACTTTTTCTGTGCATTATTTGGACCTATTGGCAACTTTTTTTTTACAATTTTTGACCGGTCAATGGACTGAACTTTATTTGACTAGTCAAATACCCAAACCTACTCAAATGGGTTACCCTTGTTTGTGCTTAAAGCCATCCTTTGGCATTGTCTGAGGTGGGGACAGAGAGGCTTTCTTTTAGTTTGTTTTAGGGGGTTTTGGACTCTCGTATTGTGCTTGCTGCGGGGAGGGAGAAGAGTTGGATGCTCTTTGAGGAGGGGAGGAGACAACTGCAGCCTCTCCGCAGGGGTCGGGAGCAGGTTTGGAAGAAATATTGAGGGGAGACTGAAGGGCTCTCGCCTGGGATTGAGGTGGAGTGGTGGGGAGGGGATGGTAGGGGAGGGGCTCAGGACGGTTTCTTTTATCTGGGTGTGACTGGCAGTTGGGAGGCATGGTTGGGTTGGCAGGGGGGGTTGCATGTGTATGAGGTGGGGGGTTCACATTTTGGGATGTTGCTTGTGGCTTTTTTTATTGCAAACTGCTGAAGCTTCCTGGATAGGGCAGGATATAAGCACCTGTCCTGGCAGGGGGGTTTGCACGCGAGTCATTGCCAAGAACAGCTTCTGCAAGGGAGACTCAGGCCACCTGCGCTGCAGAGGCCTGGCTGGTGCAGTAACGATGGCAGCACCCCTAGTTCAGATGCAGCCTGTGCTGGCAGAGGGAGTAGATGCCCCACCTTCTGGATGACGTGGGCTGAAGCAGAAAAACAGATACAGCTCAGCAGAGCTGTATCTACATCAGGCACTTTGCTAGAGCAGCTGGGGAATGAGAGGTTTCATAGTCCTATCTGGGCTAACCATACTGATTGAAATACCAGTGTTTCTGGCACCTGTTCCACTCTTTTTGCCTAATTCCCTTACAGTACCCCTAACCTAACGTCCCACTGTCCCAGCCCTGACCCCCAAAACGGTTACAGCATCTGTGTGTCTGTTGCAGCACCCCGTTCCCTTCACAGCTCTTTCTCTCCATACCCTCAAAACCCACAGAAGCCCATCTTCCTCACTCTGCCCCCCCCTCCCCCAGCCAGTTTCAGCTCTGGGGAGTGGGGTGGGTGGTTTCCCATGCTCAGGGCTTTGGCATGTTGTTGGGGGAATATGGCAGGTGGCTGGTACAGCATTATAGCCCTTACTACCCTACAGAACTAAGCAGAGAGGAGCAGCCTGCCATGATGTAGATCAGGGTTATAATTGTAAGTTATAAGGGATTCATTAGGAGTGTGTCCTGGGGGGATAGAGGTGCTCACAGGAAGACTGGGATTTGGGGATCTGCAGGGGGCAGGGAAACCCTGCAGGAGGCATAGTATTTGGGGTGATAGAAGGTGATAGAGATTTGTGCAAGTGTCACACTGGGGAGCCTGAGTAATAGGGAGCTAAGGGTCCTGGAAGGGTTACAGAGACCAGGGAGACTCATGGAAAATGGAAGGGATACAGGGATTGGGAAAGTCTGCCCATCTTTCACCACATTTATAGGACTGGCCTAGAGAAAGATAATTCCTGACAATCTCCCCTGCCACCCCCTTTTTTGACTCTCCAATGGAAAAGGAAAGCATACAGGCAATGAAAGAATGGGCAGGTCAACAAGGAAGCTTGCTAGGAAATGGCAAGAATCTGCATGGGCAAAATCAGGAAGGCAAAGATAAAGAATGAGCTGCACCTGGTGAGGGAGGTTAAAGAGAACAAGAGGATCTACAAGTAAGTTGGCCCAAAAAGAAGCACTAAGGAAACTTACCGAGCCAAGGGAATTCATGAGACCCTAACAAGGCAGAGCTACTCAAGAGCTACTTTGCTGTTGTCCCCCCCCAAAAAAATTAAGCTCCAAACAAACATGTAATTAAGATTATTTAGGAGCAGGGGAGCAAACCGAGGAGTGAGATAACAAGATAGTCGAAGAGTTTGCTTTGAGTCTGAATGAATTCAAGTCGGCAGGATCTGATGAACTTCTTTCCATGGTACTGAAGGAACTGGTAGAGGGGATGTTGGAGCCCTTGGTGAGGATATACATGAAGTCATGGGAGACGGACAGGAGCGGTGGTGCTCCCCTTCAGAACGGCAAGGAGGAGGACCTGAAGAACAATAAACCTCTTTGCCTCACTGTAACAACTGGGAAGTTACTGCAGCCTTTAAGGATTTGCAAGCATTTCGAGGAGGCAAGGCTGATCGCAAGCAGTCAGCATGGATTTACCAAGAACAAATTGTGTCAAACAAGCTTGATGTCCTTCAAAAAAGTAACTGGGTGGATGAAGGGAATGCTATGGGTATAGTGTATCAGGATTTCAGCAAGACTTTTGAGACTGTCCCATGGGACATTCTTGGATACAAATTGGAGAAATGTGAGCTAAAAACCCTGTGAGGTGGATAGACAACTGGCTCAATAGCTGACATGGAAGGGTAATTATAAATGGATCCATGTCAGAATGGCAGGTGGCTTTGAGTGTCCCGGGCCTAGGGCTGTTGGACATGTGTATTAATGATCTGGATGGTGGCATAGAAAGCTTGCGCAGGCTTTCAGATGGTACAAAATTGAGAAGGATTGTCAGCACGTTGTGGGGAGGGGGCACAACTCAGAAAGGTCTCTACAGATTGGAAAGCTGGGCTTGGACAGATGAAGTTGAATGCTAACGAACACAAGGTTGTGTACCTCAGGAAGAATAATCAAAAATACAAAATGGGTGACGCCTAACTGGGATGGCTGCACTACGGAGAAGGCTCCGGAGTCTTGGGAGATAGTAACTACACAGAAGGCAAACGCAATTTTGGGAATGCATCAGTAGAAACATTGGGTGCAAACGGGAGGTGATAACGCCTCTCTACTTGACACTGGTTAAGCCTAGTTTTACCCCATGGTCTAGAGTATTGTGTGCCATCTGGGGCTCCATGTTTTAAAAAAGGCATGGAGAAGTTAGGTTCCAGAGGGAGGTGACAGAAATGATAAAGAGCTTGAAAGGCAAGTCGTACAAAGAGGCTGGAGGATCTAGACATGTTCAGATTGTGGAAAAAATGCTTAAAAGGGGACACAATACCAGTTTTCAGATACCTGAGGGGTTGCCATAAAGTGCGGAAAAGCACGTTTTGTCTTGTGCTGCGGAGAGTAGGACGCGGACTGATGGCTTGAGGTTGCAGCATAGTAGGTTTAGGTTGGCTATCAGGAAAAACTTGATTGCCAGTCCTTGTGGTACTTAAACCCTGGAGGGCTTGCCCCTCCACTCAACATTGGACCCATTGCCGTACTTGGGGTCACGAAGAAATTTTACCCCACGGTCAGATTGGTACTGACTGGGAGTTTTTGCCTTTTGGAGGCTGGTGGGGGCTCTTCCTTGCGTCTCTCAAGCATTGTTTATCAGCCTGTGCAGCTGCGGGACATTTGCTGCCATGGTTCCCCAGCTTTATGTGTTGCAGGTTGGGATGTTATGTCTTGTGTTGCATCAGGCCTGTAGTTTTGGTAATAGGTTAAACTGGGTTTTTATAGGATTGTTTGGGTAGTGATGATCCTGCCTCTTCCAGCCCTACTTCTCTCTGACTCCTAAGTAATAAGCAGTGGCACCAGTCCTGTGAAGTGACAGAGACCCCAATTGGCAATCCCTAGAGCCAGCACAGTTGCTGTCCAGAGGTGGCAGCAGCAGCAAGTCTGTACAGCAGCGATCCCAAACGGCACGAGATGATGCTCCCGAGAGGTGATGGAGACCCGAGCGGTGCGCCAGGCACCACATCTCATTGGTGACTCCAGACGGCACCAATCCTAGTGGCACTTAAGCTGGCTGCAGCGATGTCGCCAGGCAGCACTCGAAGCAGTGGCAAGCTGGTGAAAGTGGCAACTGCAGTCTTGGGTACTGAAAGGCAGCAGCACTTAAAGTGGTTGTGGGTGATCCAGAGCAGCAGCACCCCCAGGTAGCGCTCCCTGGAGCAGCAGCCAGTGATGACTGATGACAACCCACCCAGTCGGTGGTAACCCTGGGCGGTGGGCTTCCTCAAGCTCCCAGTGACACTGGCTGCCTCGGCAGCGACCACGAGCATCTAGAGATGGAGACCCCAGCAACCCTTACCTAAAGGCAGCAAGCAGTAACAAAAAAACATCCCTAGTAACCCTGGAAGAAACCTCTCAGCCCACCCCCACTACACTGGGCAAGGTTGCAATTCCCAGGTGGAGAGTTTGCACTTAAAACTTAAACCAGAAACTTAAAATTTGAAGGTGCATAAATATAGGTGTTGATAAGGTACTTAATATTTTTAATGTTTTTCATATTTTAGGGTATTTAATGGGGGAGGTTGACACTGGGGTAATTTAATATTAAAGTTGTTGAATATTTTGAAGTGTTGGACATTTGGGATGCTATTTGGGGATGCTTTAATATTTTGGGGTTATAATGGCTGGGGAGTTTGAATAGTTGAAGGGAAAATTAGATGAGGCTGAAATATTTTTATTTATTTACCTTTTAATAAACTTCTATTAGTTGAAATCACTTGTGAGTGGGGAAGTTGAGTGGGGGGGGTCGGGCGGGCCCTCGGGGATGGAGCAGTGTGAGTTATTACCCCTGGGCAGGGTTGGCCACCCTTAAGCCGGTGCTGAGAGCTACTGCTGGGGGACAGGATGGGGCCAGGCCTGTTCCCTGGGGTTAAGCTGTAGTGGCTTCTGGGGAAAGCACTCCCATCTACTTCAGTGTGGAGTCCACATTGCACTCAGGAACTGGGTTATTTGCAACACCTGGGGCAGGTAATCCTGTCCCTTCACTTCCCACCCCCACTCGGAAAGCCAAACCAAGGAGCAGCTGCATCTTGATGCTGGGCATGGGGCCCTGTGCAACCAGCCCCTGGGCTCACACCCCAAAGGTGGCTGCTTCTTGGCTCTGTGTATAACCAGCCCCCAATACACCACACCTCAGAGGCAGCTGCATCTCAGCCCGGGGTCCCCATACAACCAGCTTTTGATCCCAAAATGCCCTTCCTGGGGAAGCAGCAGATCCAACTTCACCTTAATGCCAGGTAGTATGTGAGAACAGTCAGTTCGGGAAGGGGAAGTGCATGGCAAAGAGAGGGGCTCCGAGGGAGCTGCAGAGCGGCTGAAATGGAGACAGCTGATGCTGCAGAATGAAAGCTGCTTCTAAAGGGGAGTCGGTAGCAGAAGAGGGGCAAGTAGATCATAAGTGGGCATTGCCTGGCACTTGTCGCACCGCATGAGACCCAGAACCTGCAGGTCAAGACGGGCCCCGTTGCACTGGGCACTGCCCAGATCCGCAGGTCAAATTTGGGCCCTGTCATGCTGTGCACATCACACATGCTGCACAGGTTCAAAGTGAGAGAGAACCCAAGAGTTGAAGCAGGCAAAAGACTGGAGGAAACAAAGGCAAGGACTTTGCCTAGAACAGTGGTTTCCAACCTGTGGTCTGTGGACCCTTGGCGGGCGGCTATTCATATTTCAATAACTACAGGAAGCTGCAGCTGCCTGCAGGGAGACCCCCACCTGCCCCTCCACACCCTCTACCACCCCTCCCTGCCACTACAGACAATGTGCTTAAGAGACAGAGAGAAACTTTGTGTTGCAATGAAAATTTTGTTTTTATTCAAAGAAACACTCAACGGTAGGTATCGGGAACATATCCATCGGCCTAGAGGGAACCAACTCCATCAGCAGCATCTGCGATATGTGCAGCCAGGCGATCCTGCACGACGGCTGCCCGACCAGCGTCTCCATGCTGATGGTGTGGGATGTCATGCGCTGCCCACCCACGTCCCGCTGCCTCCTCAACCCGAGACTCCCTAAAAACCTCTCCCCTGGTTTCGCAAATATTGTGGAGCATGCAGGCTGCCACTATAAAAGCCACTATGTTTTCTGGCTCCAACTCGAGCCTGTAGTTCAGTGACCTCTGCCGTGCTTTGAGGCGGTCAAAGGCACGTTCAACAGCCATCCTGCACTTGCTCAGGTGATAGTTGAAAGCCATCTTCTGCAGGTGAGGGGAAGAACAAGGCAGCTTTGTCAGGCCACAGGCTGCAGTTAATGAATAACACCAAGGCCAAAGAGCAAGTCACGAGAGATAGCAGAAGGGACGATTCCTTATCTCGGATATAGATTTCAATTGATTGAAGTCAAGATTGACAGGTGATTGAGACACCAGGGTCAGGCAACCTAGGGAGAAAAAGCTTGAGCTAAGGTGATCCCTCGAGCCCCTTTCCAGGACCACTAAAATCTGGTTCCACTCAGTTCCACTGAAACAAAAAAAATTCAATAAAACCAACCAGGGATCAATTATTAGTATGTCTAATTGGCCATCTATGAAGACTGGGCATGGGCTAAGCAACAAACTGGACTTTTCCCAAAGGCCAGCAGAAGAAACCAACCCAGTGAAAGTCCCCAGGAAAGCAGAGATGCCGGGCCAGCAGACCTATCTGAATCCAAGGTGGCCTAAGCGTTGCCTTCATCAATACAAATCAGTCTTTGCTACAGTAGAATCCCCTTTTTATGGCATTCTACTAGTCAGCATACTGTATTAACCGGCACCGCTCCGCTCCCATCCACCACTCCGCACCACCGCCGCGTGCAACCACCCCGCACTGCCGCCACGTGCAAGCCCCTCCTAAACTCCCCTCTGGCTCCAGTATTTTTAGATAACCGGTATTTTTACAGTACCGGCACCCGGCATTCCCCACGCATGCCAGATAATGGAGATTTTACTGTATTAAGCTTTTGAATTGCGATTGGAACGGTCTCGTTGATCAGCTAATTTCACTCCTAACCACAAGTCAAATCAAGGAAAACAGATCAGGCGACTTTAACTGATCTGCGCACGTGCTCCCCTCTTGGAAAAGAGTGGTTAGGATGTCAGCTCCTTTGACACGCACTCCTTCTCCTACGCACACTTCTCCCCTACTTACACAGCCCCTTAGACCAGAGCTTTCCAAACTGTGTGCCGCGACACAGTGTGTCGGCGGCAGTGTGTAGGTGTGTTGCGCGAAATGCAGAAAATTTTGTGGAAGGGCACCGCGGAGCTCCCTTACTCGCGTCTGCTTCCCTTGGCCCTCCCCCGGAACTGAATTACTGTGTCGCGAAATGATGCATGTCTAAAAAGTGTGTCACCAACATGAAAAGTTTGGAAAGCTCTGCCTTAGACATTCGGCAAGTAACAGGCCATTTCAAAATGCGTTGAACAAAGTCCCACTCCCTTTTGATGGAGGTGGCCACCTCCAACAACAAGACAAACCAGCCCTCTGGCCAGAAAACTCAGACTCGTTTCAAAAGTGACAGGTTATTTTCTTAAAACACCTTAATATGGGGAAAGGGGGGCAGTTTTATACCTGGGGAGATGGAAATCAACAGTGATAACAATTATAGATAAGACAAATAAAAGTGTGCTCGATAATGGTTTATTAATCTCTCGGAGTAGCCCCTACAGAACAATCCTGGACCCAAATGGCTTTGGCACCAGCAGGGAGGTCTCAGTATTCACAATGGGAGATTACAGCGTGCTGAATTTCACCCAGGGAATGTGCTCATATTTTTTACACCCTTCCACAGGAGAGGCAGGACCTGCTACAGGCTGCACCTCCTTCACACCTGCTACCCCGTTACACCCAGAAAAGGGACTCAACTGCTCCCTGGCCAGAGGCTCCTTCAAAAGTGCAGGATCCTTGCTGCGCAGCCGTACGTGGGAGTAATGCCTCGAATGTGACCAACTCCTGCTCCCGAGAGTTAGCAACAAGCCCTGGATTACAGTGACTCCTTTGGAAAGGGAAGTGTCTAGGAAATCAGAGATATCTGCCCTGGAAACGGTCTGGGTCTGGTCTGCTCCCATTGCACAGCTCTGGAGAGGATATAGAGGCCAACCACAGGGATATAATGCTCAGTTCTGGCGGTTTTATGAGCAGAGGAGGCAATGAGGCCCCTGGCAGTGAAGAGTCCTAAGAGAGGCTGAGAAGCAAAACTGTCCAAACCAACTCTAGGGGTGGTAGTAGTAGCTCCTTGCAGACCCCAATAGGCATTAGCAGGCCTGAGAGAGGGGTATGTGGTGGGGAGGAAAGTTGAGGTTAGGGTGCAGGGCAGGCAATACTTCTCGCTAACCTAGTGAGGAGGGCTTTAAACTAGGTTTGCTGGGAGATGGAAACCAAAGCCCTGAGGTCAGTGGGGAAGCAGGTGACCCAGAGGAAGAACAAGCAGGAGGGGGCAACAGGGGAGGTGTTCTCACACTTCCTGAGAAATCAGGGCAATCAACTAGTAACCTCGGGTGCCTGTACACAAATGCACGGAGCCTGGGAAACAAGCAGGAAGACAAAGCTGGAATAAGTCCCATGATAGTCCCTGGGTGTCATTTGGAGTCAGTTCATAGAAAGTTAGGGCTATCTTTGGGGGGAGAGATATCTCGTTAGGAGGGTACTTCTTCACCTGGCAGCAGTGACCACTTTTAGACTGCAAGGCTGATGCAAAGATCGTCTCCTCACATGTTTTCTTAGCATCTGGCCTGGCCGTTTTCTCTTAGCCCCTCCCCACCATCAGACCTTGGGGGCCAACATCTGGATCCTTTGGGATCTGCGATGCCCTACATGGTCCGAAGCATGGGTCAACTTTTTCTGCAGCACCAGCATTGCCTGAATACAGCCCTGAACATGTAGAGCAAGTAGAGATCCCCAGGCCCTTCCTGCACTGCTTAGTTATGGATGCTCCTGGGTGTGGAGGAGCTGGTGCCGGGCCAGGTGGCAGGACTGGGTGAAGCTCTTCCCACACTCCAGGCAGCCATGTGGCTTCTCCCCTGTGTGGATGCGCTGGTGTCGGGCCAGGCTGGAGGACTGGGTGAAGCCCTTCCCACACACACAGCACTGATGTGGCTTCTCCCCCGTATGTATAAGCTGGTGCTGGGCCAGGTGGGAGGAGTGGCTAAAGCTCTTCCCACACTCAGGGCACCGATGTGGCTTCTCCCCTGTGTGGATACGTTGGTGCTGGGCCAGGTGGGAAGATTGGCTAAAGCTCTTCCCACATTCAGGGCACAAATGTGGCTTCTCCCCTGTATGGATGCGCTGGTGGTCAGCTAGATGGGAGGCTTGGGTGAAGCTCTTCCCGCACTCAGAGCACCCATGTGGCTTCTCCCCTGTGTGGATGCGCTGGTGCCGGGTCAGGCTGGAGGAGAGGGTGAAGCGCTTCCCACACAGAGAGCATTGATGTGGCTTCTCCCCTGTATGAGTGAGCTGGTGCCGGGCCAGGTGGCAGGATTGGGTGAATCTCCTCCCACACAGAGAGCACTGATGTGGCTTCTCCCCTGTGTGGACACGCCGGTGCCGGGCCAGGTTGGAGGAAAGGGTGAAGCTCTTTCTGCACTTGGTACAGCAGTACTGACGCTTCCCCTTTTGTGCGTGCTGGTGCTTGACCAGGTCTATGGGGTACACAAAGCTCTTCCCACACTTGGTGAAGCAATGGGGGAGCTCTCCAGAATGGGTCTTGTGGTGAGCAACCAGGGTCGAGAGGCAAGTGAAGCTCTTCCTGCACTTGGTGCATACGTGGGGCTTTTCCCCAGCATGCCTCATCTTGTGCAAAGCCAGGAGTGATGGACAGTTAAAGGTTTTCCTGCATTCAGGGCAGGGGTGGGCTCTCTCCCTTTTCTCGGCAGTGAGTTTCTGCTTCCCGCTGAGGCCCTCCCCACTGGCTTCATTTGGATATAGCGTCTGTCTCCAGTGGAACTCTGTCTGGTGGCTCTTCATGTCTCTCAGCTCCATAAATTCTTCCCTGCCCCCAGGGCTTTTACTGGGTTGTGTCCAATCTCCACTCTCACACCCAACTGAAGATGGTACCTGATTCACTGCTGTAGTCTCCTTCTGCTTTTGGGGTCTCCCCTGGCTCTTGTTCCATTGGTCCTTCTCAGGTCTCAGGGCATCCAGCTCACCCAAACTCCCCGGGGAAGTCCGTGCTGGCTTGAGTTTTGCAGACCCTTCCACAGGAGGCTGCTCTTCAGCTCTGCTCAGCAGCCAGGCACCTCCTGTCGGGGGAAGAGAAACTCTGGATTAGTCTCCACACTGCTGCCAAAGGGCAAGCACTGCTGGGATCCCTTCTGCTGGGATGGGCTTCAGAGCAGGACTGGACCTTGGCACTTGTGTTTCCTTAAGAAAACAAGGTCTTCCTTCCAAAACCACAAGTGCTGGGGGCGAAGGAGGGGCAGGTCAGTGTGCAATGCTAATGTTCTCTATTCAGTGGATTTCAGAGCCAAATTCTGTCCCAGCTGTCAGCCCCATCACCTCAGAGCCTGCTCGGAGAAATATACGCATGACGTGTGCGTAAAGACGGTATTGGAATGGCTTCGTGCTCTAATGGGCTGAGGATGAGACCAGAGACATCTGCTTAAAGGAAGAGCGAGGCTCCCTAACGGCTGGGCTATCCCACGGCACTGGTGGTTCCACGGGGACATGATGCCGAGCCCTCCACCTGACTGGCCTGACATGCTCCAGAAGCCAAGGTACATTGGTGAGACTGCTCTCCTGTGCTCACCCTTGATCTCTGGCAGTCCTGACAGCAGCATCGAGTACAAGGGTGAACAACTTAACAGTGGATTTCTAGGGCTTGTCAGCAGTTATGGGGGGGCTGTGGAGCACTGCCTTACATTGCACCAGCTGCTTCTGTGATACACACAAGTGCTGCTTATGCTTGGGAGAAAAAGCCAAAATGTTTCATCCCTCCCTCCAAGAAATGTTCTGGGAGGGGAAGGACTTAGAGCTCCGGCTCTTTGTTTTCTGGAAGGAGCAGGGCTCTGCTTCCTACCTGCTTCCAAGGAAAGTTCTGATGTAGGGAACGAGCCCGTGGAGCTTTCTTCTGCTGATAAGTCCCAGGCGTCCTTCATGTCACAGGAACCTGCCCCAGGATAAAGGCCTTGGCACATTAACTTGCACATGGACTCTGTGTTGAGTTGCAAGCTTTGTGACACTCAGGTCCCCAGAGATGAAACAGGAAGGGGAAGATTCTGGTGCAAACCATGGAGAATTCACTTGCCCTCCCCCCCCAGCATGACAGCTTGTGAATCCCACCCACGCCGTGGAGCCATTTAATGCGACCTGAGACCACGATCACTTCTCTGGGTTCCAGATCAATCTGACCAAGAGAAACCAGGGACAGCCCCAACCTCTCTCCTGTCCAGTAATGGCTACACGGAGCTTCTGCCGACCATGCTGATTTCCATGAGGGACTACAAATCTCATCATGCTCTGGAAGAGTATAGAGGTATGGCTAATCTTGAGCTGGGGAATGAACTCTTACACTGCTGAGTGAAGCTGGAAACTATAAAGATCATGGTTTCCCAAGGAAACCAATCCGGGCCTAAAAATCAAGATAGCAAACTTGCTTGTCCTCTAACAGCTATAATTAGGGGGAGAAGAAGGGAACAGCTGCTTGTCTCCACATCATTGAATTCCACGGAACAACACCTGCCGGGACACACTGCAGTATGGACGGGCAAAACGGTGGATCCAGCTGGTGGCTGGACCCATCTCCCAGAAGCCCTTGCCCACATCGTACTGGCCAGTCTCCATAAAGACCCCAAGAGCGGTGGGGCTGTGACAGTGCAGCGCCAGGGTCTCTGGTCCAAGTGGTGCAGCCAGGGCACGTGGCTGGGCAGGGAGCTGCTCCATGGTGGTGCCAACACAAGCCAGAGCCGGGGAAGAGCCACAATCCACTGCCTGCACACCCCTGGGGCACTGGATCATGGCTCTGCCCCAGCTCTGACCCATACTATCTGCCGCAAGATCCTGGCCCTGGAGCAGCTCCCTGCCCAGCCATATGCTCTGCCATCACCACTTGGGCTGGTCTTCATCCACACTCTGGGCTTGCACTGTAGTGGTCCCCACAGCTCCTGGGATCTGCATGGAGACAGACTGGAGCGATGCAGGCATGAGCCAGACTTTGCCTGCCCCCGCATTACAGCATAAGCTATTTGAGGTCAGCAACCTAGAATGGCAGCACAGGGCAGGTCTGCCGTTTCCAGGTCCTCCTGTCACTCTGGGTACGGGATATTTCTGAGAGTGGAGTCAAGTGGAGGGGATAGCCACAAGTAGGCTGACTATATGGAAATCACCCAAGAAGTCTGGGAGACTGTCCCCTCTTCCCCCACCCTACGCTTTCACTGCTCAGCGAGGGTGGGGCTGTGTGCTTGCCTGCTCACCTGCAAGGTGCTCTACTCTGCTCCGACTCCCAGCCAAACTGCACCCTGCACCCCTGAGTTTCTGGGATGCCCGTTATAATTCTACACAGCCAGCCGGGACCAGCCTCTGAAATTTGGGACATGTGGTCACCCTAGCCAAAACTCACCTGGCAACAGGTCCTCTGGCCTTAAGATTCCCCCGTGGTTCTCATCATCGCAGATCCAGAGGTCCGCTTCCCCTCGCTGGATGCGGCAGATTACGTCAGGTGTGGGACCTCCATATCCTGTTTTGGAAGCGGTTAAGGAGTGTTTGTGACTGGGTGCTGGATGAAGAATAACCAACCAAAATCTGAGGGATGGATCCAGTGAACTCAAGGTTTCTACCGGGGTCTAGAAGGACAAGGAAGGATGGGCATTTAGGATGAAAGAGAAGGCACCGCTGGGAGAAGCCTTCAATAGATGACAGTCCTCGACACCCATGTAGTAGAGGGATGGTCATAGGAACAAAGTACCAACCACTCAGGTATAAAAAGGGTACAAAACTGATAGAGTCACCGGGGACAGGGGTGGTGAGGCAGTGATCTGTGATGTAGCAGAAAGCAGAAAGATACAGCTTTTACTGTTTTCAACGTACCATTGTTAAGAGACATGGGACACACTTGTGTAATGGCTAATATTTATCTTATCAGAGTAATTCCAGGCAAAGGAGTAGAAATGAGTTTATTCTCAGTGAAGGTTTGAAGTGGGGACTCAGCAGTGAGAAGAATTCATGACAGATGGCTGACAACGAAACTTTGCTCCCCTGGGAGAAAAGGCAATTCATCATCAACAGGGCACAGGAAAGGATGATTTTTTAAATAACTGTAGATGCAACTGAAGCAATCATCCCATCCAATGGTAGGATCATCCAAGGAGGGGAGATGGGTGCACAAGTTGCCAGATACTGCAGGGGTTAAGACAAAGCTCATGGGAGTCATGGGTATGGATTAAAGGCAGAAAAACATTTTTACAGCTTGTGAAACCCTATAATGCAGAAATGATCTACGGAGTTTTCCAAGACAAAGACAATCCTGGAACTGCATCTAAAAGAGAGGGCATTCAAGACAAATAGATTGCACAATGACTAGGAACAGATATATCAACACAGCAAAAGTGTGGGATCTTGTGAGAGCCAAGGGGCAGAACAGAGACCTAAAATGGTAGATATTAGCTTGTAAGACAACGCCTGAGCTATGTAGCAAAGTCAACCAACAGTCTTGTTATTATAATAAAGTGGTTGATGCAGATACACTTTGGGATACAGTGAAGAAGTTTGCACTTTTAGCTTCTGATGTAGTAAAACCCAGTCATGTCAGGAAAATCAGGCTGCAAAACCTGTAAGGAATGGAGGTTTCATGAGACTGGGGGTGAAAAGTAACAAGAGAGCAAAGACAAAGGGAGTAAATACCAGTTTTCCAACGACAAGAGAACAGATAATTACTCGCTAAAAAAATTAAAGGAAAATGTATTGCAGCCAGAGTCAAGAGGACCACCAAAATGAGTGCGAACCAGCTTGATTTTACAACAGGAGAGAAAAAAAAACCTTCCGACGCTTTCAAGATAATTACAGGAAAGAATAAAAAGCTCTATATGGTCTTTATTGAGCTGGAAAATGCATTTGAGCACTTCCCCAAGGAAGTCCTCTGGGGGAACTAGAGGGAAAAGAAAGCACCAGAGAAGCCAACTGACCTAGTAAAAAGTAGAATACCGCAAACCTCCACACAGACCCAAACGAGCGCCTGTATTAGAGATCATCTGGAAACAACAACTGGTTTTCACCAGGCCCTGCACCCAGCCCACTTCTTTTTATCACTATGATGGACATCGGATATGAGGAAGGGTGTTAGGAGCAGGACAAGCAAACTTTTGAGACTGGCAGTGAGACTGAGAGCACAGGTCTCAAAGTACATGCAGCAAAGCTAGTCTGTGGTCTACGGAGATGAAGATGTTAGGAAGGACGTTTCCAGTGACTCCTTATTAGAAGTACCTGGGTTCCACCATATCACTAGAGAAGGAGTTGAGAAAATGCTTAATCCATCTGTTGTAGCAGCAGAGGCTGGTAAGACTTCCATGAACTTCTGTTGGGGCATAACCAAAGAACAAGAAAGGGGATTTAGCTAGCACTGAATTCAGCACGCTAGGATTATTAAATGTGTTTGGACAGGACACACTAGACAAGAGAGGGAGGAAATCAGAATAATTCCCCGAGGCCTAGTTATTAGTGAATTTTTATGCACGAGGAATTGGAGGTGATACGAATATGCTGAGAAAGCAAAGGGACATCGTGTTGCCATGAAGCTGCTAATATGGAAGCACCAGAAGTTACAGTAATGGGGAAGACTCAAGCGAAGACAACTGCATCAAATGAAGGAGGATATATATATCACTATGAAATGCAAGACAGGCCTGATCACTGACAGAGCAGTGGGGAGGAAGCAGATTTAAACCACCAGCCAAAAGTTCCTGAGGACGAGACTGTTGAAAACCAGGGAGAAGACAATAAACTTCTGAGCTCACATGGCTCCAGGGAGAAGCAAGAAGCAAAGCTTTACCCAGGGAAACGAGGGCATGGAAATTCCTCAGCATCTGGTCCCGGTAAAGCACCTTGTCTTCATCTCCCAGCAGCTCCCACTCCTTCCGCGTGAAGTACACTGCCATGTCCTCAAAGATCTGCTGGAGCTGCAGTCACAACACATTATACCACGAGTATCTCCTGGTCCAGCTGCCTCCAGCCCCCACAGCCCTGACCTGTACTACTCTGCACTACAAATATTTGAAGCTTAGCCAGGACAGGAAGGGGTGCAAAATTCCCCATTGTTCAGCTGACATGTGATGTGGATGCAACTCTGTGGGCATATGAGTTAATATGTCTGCTTTACCCTAGCTCATGTTTGATCAGTCCTTTGAGGCAGCTGTAGCAGCTCGTCTAGAGGGTCCATGGACTCTGACCTGGCCTTCCAGGGTTGGCACCACTGGCCATCTGCACTTGGGAGTGAGCTCCTGCTAATGCCAGTGTGGGGAGTTTGCAGCCCCTCTCACCAGTGAAGCCTCCTCTTGTTCTTCAGGTCTCTGCACTCCCCAAATTCTTCTCTGTGCCCCTGGCTCCTCCTGGGCTCTGCCCCAGCTGAACTCCCACACCCAGCTGAGTCCTCTGCCCTGCTCACCTCCATGCTCTCCCCCTGCTTTGGAGGTTTGCCCTGCCTTTCCTGCAGTTGGCCTGGCTCGGGTGTCAGGGAGCCCCTCTCTTCCAGTCTCCCTGGGGAAGTCCTCTGCAGCTCCCAGTCTACAGGCCCCTCCTCAGGAGGCTGCTGATCAGCTCTACTCAAGGTCCCTGCACCTGCCGGGTAGGGAAGAAAATCCACAGGTTAGTCCTGGTGCTGCTGGCACGGGGAAAGCCCTGCTAGTCACCTGTACTGGCCTGTAACTAAGACAGCCAGAGGCATCAGTGTGTGCATGGGATGAGGTTGGGGCGGGGAGAAGGCGGACTCAAAAATCCCACAGGCCTTTCTAAGAAATATCCACAGACACAACGCTGGAGATGAGCCCCAATAACTCTGTCCCAACGCAGGGTGGTGACCACAGCACCATGGCATGGCAGATCCTAGGGGGACATCGCTCCATGAGAAAGAAGCTGGAGGGATGTTGGTACTGTGTCGGCACCCACATATTAAGGGGAGGAGGAAGGGAAATGCAAAGGCAGTCTTCGCCAGGGTGTGTGAAATGCTTCCAGGGGCACTGGGAGAACAGGAAAAGCTGATCTGTTGAAGCACTGACCCCATCGCAATGTTCTGGCAGAGATTTTTCCATTGATGGATGGATGGTACCTCCTGCTGCTGGAGAGGGGTGAAAAACGGCTCCTTACCTGCTACTGGGAAAGGGCCTTGTCTGGGGCACCAGCCCGAGGAGCTTCCACCTGCTGACCGCTCCCAGCTCTCCTCTGTTTTGGGGGAATCTGCAGCAGGAAAGAGGCCTGTGGTTAACTGTAAGTGGGGAAACCCATTTCCTTGCCATGTGCACATATCCCTGCCTTATTAGGCACAGAGGGCTCAGTGGGGGGGGCATGAGAAAAGGGAAAGTAGAACACTGATTACTTGAATATCAATTAGATCATTGATTGTTACCATGGTAGCATTATGAGGCCCGAATGAGATAAAGGATCTTTCTGCTGGGTGCTGCACACATGCAGTGAGAAAAATCAGGCGCCCTCAGCCTGGTGCTGCCCAGCCACGGAGATCAGAGCCCTGTGGCACCCCAGCCATTCGGTTACAAATATTGTGGCCCTGTTCCGGGCAGGGGCAGACATTCGAGCCTCTCGCCCCAAATGCAAGACAGCTACTCAGGCCCCCAGACCCAGGCCTGGACCTTACCCGACTCCTGGAAGGACAGGAGCTCTTCTTTGGGCACAAGAGGCAGCTCATCCTGGGGCTCTGGGGTCTCTCTCTGCCCTGTCTCCTGCAGAGGCGCGTCTCTAGAGTGGGCCTTTGGCTGCTGCAGCCAAGAATCAGCTTCTTTGACCTTCACACACACTGTGACCTGGGGACGAGACAAACATGTCACTGGGGAGCTGGGAATGGGAGAGACTGGGGTTGGAGGGAACATCCCTCCCGCACATTTTTTTTTTTAATTAAACTTTCCATATTCCAAGCCAAATTAGCCAAAACCAATTCCAGATCCAAGAGTCAGTCCAGACCATAAGTGGCCCTACTACCGGCAAACACCCTCCACCCCCATCTGGGGCTTCAGATGTTTCCAAATCCTTTGGCGGGCGTCCTACTTGCAGGCCCAAGCCCGGAGGCTCGGGGTTCGGATGCCCCTGGGTTTTGCTTGCCCTCAGCCATACGGCTGCCGGGGCAAACCAGGGAAGAGTCGCCCGTTTCCATAAAGCGGGTGGAAAGCCAAGATCTTCCCACTCCAGCAGCTAAATGGGAGGTTTGTTATGCATGACCTTGGCGGGTACTACCCCCGGTCTTCCCCGGCGTGGCTAGGAAGACCACCTCCGTGGTCGCGGTGTTCCCCTTGCCAGGTAAGCGTCGGACATGGCGAAGGGGGCAGCAGCATCGATGCCTAGGGCGAAACATCCTCACCTGGAGCTTCTCCTCCTCCTCCTCCTGCCCCAGCTGCACCCCCTCGGCTAGCCTCACGGCCTCGGCGCAGGTCTCCACGCTGCACGCCCGCTCCCAGCTCCGCATCTCCCGGGGCAGGACGGCCAGGAACTGCTCCAGCACCACCAGCTCCAGGATCTGCTCCTTGCTGCGGCGCTGGGGCTCCAGCCAGCGCTGGCACAGCTCCCGCAGGCGGCTGCAC